ATCCTCTTTCATACAGGAAAGATTATCGAGGGAATTTGTCGTAGGTAGGTAGTTGGATGATAGGATCTTTCCTAAAGATTTCTATTCCATATGTATTCATTACGTTTTCAATATCATTTTATTTATTCTTCTTGTTATATATATATATATATTCTTTTAACTTTTAGGCTTATTATATTTTATTTATAAATATTATTAAATCCTTGAAAATTGTGTTGAAAGTTTTCTTCGATGTTGAAGATATTAATTCGTCAAATATTAATTTTTCAAAAATTTCGAACTATAGGTGATATTACAGAAAAATGATAATATAATAAAACACGATTGCAACGAATTAATTTCTTAATTGCGTGTAAGAGAAAGAGCAATGCATTTATGGTAAAACATGTAGTTGGCCGGTTTATTGCTTGCATCAGTTTCATCGAGTGTAACCGGTCGTGAAGTATTTTTCGAAGAAGGAACAAATTGAGACCGGTATAAGAACAAAACGTTACGTTATCGGTTAGGTGATTCTCAAAATGAAGTAAAGTTGGAAAAATTATATTTAATCGTTGAAAGTAACTTCGCTAATGATTCATGTTTAATTAATAGATAGAGTTAGACATTTTTGTCACGAGATTTAATTTTATCAGAGCGCGGCAACTTCAAAGTTTTATTTCCATGGAAACTTAGGGAACGGAATGTTACTTTTCTAACATATCTTTCCCATATCACGTTAACATTATTTATGTGAATCAAAGATATGTCGATTTATTCCGTAGGTAAGCAGTGACCGTGTAAATTGTACTCATGACTACTTATTCAGTCATAATCGTAAGACCGACCAACTGAGAGACCGAAGGCACCTTCGTTTTCTCACGACTCTCCCTTTCGTTCAATCTGCACACGTACTTACTTACTACTTACGTACGATATTCAGGGTTCGCTGAGCACGATAATTTGCAAGATTAAAAAGGGAGATATTACTACGAAGGTAGTAGTGGATAATTCATTGAAAGATACGTTTAAAAGTGTTTCGAGATCTTGGAAAGGTCGCTTCGAAGAAACCAGTTAATTTTAATTATTTCAAAAAATGTATTTTTTTTTTTACTTTATATGAATTCGATGCTAAGAATAACCACTCGATATTTGAGAGATGAATCGGTCGTTTATTAAATCTTAGAAATTCCACGAAAAAAAGGTTCTCTCAATAATGTTTTTTTACTTATTTCTTCACTTCTCATATTATATAAATTATACGCTTCGAGATAAATAGAAAGAAGAAATGTTTTTCCATTTCTTGAATCGAAACTTTTTATGGGTGACATCGTTAGGAAACACAACGACAGATGTTACTTATCGATACACATATATATCAGAGTATACCGTAACTTAGTTTTTCTACGTAAAACATGGGACAGGTTTTTCTCCGGTATTAAGTAACGCGTGCGTTCCGTTTCTTCTTCCAGGTTCTCTCGTTTTTTACTTTTGATTATCCAATGTTTACAGCTAGGATAGATTTTATTTTTTTACGTTACTTCTAATTGAGTCGAGTCGAGTCTAGTAAAAATCTCATTAATATAAGAATCATTTTGTAAAGGTAAATCAGAAATAACGGCTTTTAATTTCACCGGATGAACAGGCCTCCCCATTGCACAAGATTACTCGTATGAATCTAAACGCGCGTAAGAGAAAGGAAAGAAAGGAGAAAGTGAGAGACATTTGGATGAAGAAACATGACCGATAAGAATAAGAGGAAGAATTGGAAGGATAAGACCGGAAAGGGAATAAAGAATTTTCGAAAGATCGGAGAAACCTCCTCTCCTCGCTACGATGACATCAAGGGTTGTGAAATTACGAAGAGTAGATAGTTAAATACATATGTATGTTAGAGTCGAAGGACGAGGATTATTATAACGGCATCTTACGATCAATGGATCTTCTTTCGAGCTCCCGTGCTGCAGGTCGAAAAGTCAGGGTCGTTCTCTCTACGCCTCCTTTGGATCTTTCTCAATCTCTTTTCTCTTTGGATTTTCATACTCGTCGACCTTTTTTTTATCCATTACATATCTATTTTAGAAAATTATCTATTTAAATCTAATCGTACTTTATGCAACATTCAATATATCGATTATTTCAATATCTCTATCATAATAGACAAGAAATATTATTCCAATTCGTATATGTTGAAGTTCAGGTTAAATTCGTTTAGAAGAAAGTATTTTCTTCGAGGAAGTGTATCGAATGTAATCATTGTAACTTATCTTGTATGTCGCATGCCATAAATCGATCCAAGTTACGTTTCCTATTTTCTGTTTTAAACTCTATAGTATTGGTAATAAATATAAGAATTTTCTCTTTAGTGACGCGTGTATGATTTACTATAAATTTATATTTCCGGTAATTTTCAGGAAGTTAGGATTAGTAATAATATTATAATCGTTTAGATTTATTTCAATTTCAGGATAGAGAAAGTATACGATGAGGTATATCATTTATGAAAAATAATTGACATAACCGAAAGATTTTTCTTATATTTTTGCAATGTCTAGTTTAAAATATCACTTGCGGTTCTTGTGTATGTATGTTTGTATGTTTGTGCCAAAAATTAAGTTTGTTTTTTGTGGTTTATACTTTCTAAGATTGAATTAGCCATCGGCATGAACGATATAAGGATGTCATTCGTAGAAGACGTGAAATTTAACAACTATCAACGTACGGAAGACTTTCTACGATCATTATGAATGAGAATGATAGCCGTTGGACTGTCTTTATTCTTCCTACATGCATACAAACATAGATATATACCTTTAAAATACATATACACGAGGAAGGGGTAAAACTTTCGACGAGCCCATCATTTTTTTTAAATTCTTAATGTTCGGCAATGAACGCACACGTTTGTAAATTCGCTTTCAAGTTTCACTTGAATAGAAATGGAAAATAATTATAAATGCTATTAATCAGCGCTATTCAATTTCGCGAAAAAAAAACTTATATATAATTAATAAACAATTAAATTTTTTAAATATAATCATCGTATCGTATAATTAAAATCAATTTGTTAAAAGTTTGTTACTGCACAAACGATACTCTACGTGTTTTGATTCTCTAAACACGTAGCGAAAGCACGTACAGCTATTACATGTTCATTCGTATTATAGAAACGTTCTGCTACTACTACTATTATACTACTACGAGAGAAGAGATCTATCCTTTACGTTACATTGACGTAATCAATGCCTCGAACCTGACGCGCGTGTATTCTTAGCGTTTATAGGGTTGCCAAGCTATTGTCATTTTTCTACTTTCTCCGAAAAGAAAAACATCGCATAGTTTCGTCGATTGGCTTGAAAAACTTATGGAATTTCGTGCGGTTATTTGTCAGTAATAAAGTGATTATAATGAAATTTGAAGAGACACGACGGATGGAGTAAAAAAAAAAAAAAGATTAAAACAAAAATAAATTAGAAAGAAATTCGAATGGAAATCTTTCGGTTCGATGATCCATCCGGTCAATTAGAGAAATCACCAGCAGCGCGTTTAAACTTTCGATGCCCGTGAAAGCGGTCGTCGCGTGGATTGTTTTTGGGTCCAGCGACCGCGCCAAACGGCCCGAGGTGAATTCTCTCTTTCTCATTCTCTCTTTTGTTCGATTTAAAGAAGAAGATAATGAATATATACGTATATTATTCCGTTCTTCTCTCGTTAAGGATGGAAGGACCGACTAAGGGGGAGACGTGTATTCTCGCGACGGTACTGTTTTGCGCACGAGTGAAAGTCCCCGCCGAGTCAAATATTTTTCACGACTGAGTTTCGTGGACCCGTTCTGCCGATCTTCCTATATACGACTTTCTTAGCACCTACATTATCGATACTCGATACCTTCGACCGCGCGTATTATCTTTCCTTCTCTTTCTCGATACACGTTTGAAGTTTCTGTAACGTAAGATAAGGACACCGAGAGAGTTGTGTGTTTTATAACACTCGTAATGACAATTATCATGGATGTAATAACACTCGAGTTGGTTTAGCTGATGCATGATGTATATCTGTACTGGAACTCCTTGAAGGATATCTATGAGTGTTACGACAATGAGATAATGTTCTAGATTCTAACTAAGCATTCTATAACATTCGTGATATCGTTTACGGATTGTACGATTTCACGGATCGTTTGAAATTCAAATGGAAATGAGAGAAATTGTTGCAGGAAATAATAAGAATCTGTAAGGACTTTCGATAAACATCTCGATCGAAATCCCGATTGGAAGTTTTGATCGAAGACTCGATCGTCCCTCGTTCAGCTTTTGTGTAACGTCGATCGACATTCCAGGGTGCACTGTGTGTAATACGTAAACACCGAGGAGCGGGCCCGGCCACGGTGACGGTGCCGACGTGAAAGTGCCCGCGGTTCGAAGTACCGGAATGCGGAGTGCCGGCCGTCGTGACGACGTACACGCTGATATTCATGCTACTAGCTAATTGGAGTATTTCACTACCTATACTCCTACACCTCCCATTGTTTTCTTACGTGTATATGAATTAAAAAGTACCACAAGAAAATGGCGTAAGCAATCTTACTTTTCGTTCATTGTTCCGTTCTATTACTCGTATAAATCGTACTATCGTCATCCTACCGTACGATTACGTAGATATTTCTGATCGATTCGAGCATAGATCCGTGCTTTTAAATAATCGATCGATTCCAGTTGGATTTAACGAGAATAGCGAAATTTACGGAAGAAGAACGACGTTTCGGATCGTGTTTATCTGGGCCATTAAAGAAAGCGTTACGAGGTCGAAAATTTTCTGCCGTCGAGAAGATAAAAAGAAGCGGAGTTACGAGAGGGGCAATCGGGGAAGTCGTACGTAAAACCCTCGTTCGCGGAGAAGTGCGTGGGATCGACGTATTCTAGATTTATATATATATATATTCTTTAGATCCATCGAGAATAAGGAGGATGGGGAGGAGGAGGTAATCGCGCGGAAGGGTAAAAAATATTTCCCAGAGAGGAAAATAACGAAGGATTTGTTCGCGAGTAGAATAGGAGAACAAGTACCAACATACATACGCGTAGACATTATACGTTACTACGTTGTTGGAATTTCACCATAAATGTATTTACATATCCCAAGAGATCGTGCGACTTTTCTGTAACTTGATTTACGACGAGAGGCGTCGGAATATTCTATCGATGCAACTCGTTAAAGGATACTCAGAGGAATATGTTATCATCGTCTCGGCTATTTCGATAAAGTAATTCTTCCCTCGAATTCTCTTGCAATTTAGTCGAAAGACGATGAGCCAATGTTTATTTCTTCAATCGTTCAACGATACTTTACATACATGCATGCATGCATGCATGCCTATAGGCAAGGTATATATATTTATATACTTACATATTTTACTTGCATACGATACCGAGCAAAGCACGTTCGAGCTTTATCGTGGTCCTTCGTTTGAGAGTAAAACATTAAGAAAAAGGAGGTGATATTTTGTATTCGTGTCAGCTTATTTGGAACGTCCCGGATAACGTAACGTGAGCGAGCTCGTGCCTTCTTGCACGCACTGTCCAATTTCTTGCGTGAACATGACGAATGTGAAAGTAACCTTGAATTGCGGATCATCTGCCCGGATCGATAAATATTTCAGTGAAAGATACTTTCGGACTCTTTCGATTCGATGACATCAATCGAAGGGCCCAACGAAAACGACAACGACAACAGTCAATCTTACTTTCTTTTTCGATTGCGATCGATTCGATTTAATTGTCGTCTTTGATTTCGTGATTAACGGCATCCCGATTGATCGGAACCTTTTAATTATTTCTCTTTCGTGGAGAACTTTCTTGCCGAAGTCGCGCCGAAGATGTAGAACGAAGATAATCAATCGCGAGATTACGCGTTCTCGATCTTTTCTATTCGTGTTGCGTGTTATACAGGTATTACACATATAATTGATCTAATCCTTTCTCTCTTTCTCTCTCTCTTGTAAAGAGGACGTATAAATTGATTATTGCAAAATAGTACGAGTAATATGTGTTATCTCGTGTTAGCAATAAATATTTCCCGCCTTCTGCAAAAGTATCTTGCAAAATATACACGTGAGATAGATAAAGATAGCGAGATAGATAAAAATAGAGAGAAATAAAGAAAGAAAGAGAGAACACATACGATAGTCTCTCGAGTTCTCTTTTTCTCCCTAGTTCGCTATTACACCATTGGCTTAGGTGCTTGGCTATAATATGGATGAAAAGGTGAGAAGAGGAAGGGGATTCGACGAGGTGAGAATACGATAATCTCCCTCGTCGTTTACTCGTAGTGTCACGACGCATATGGATGTACAGTGAACCATTACGACACCCACGATGCTGCCAAGACAAAAGAAGAGGAGGAGGAGGAGGAGGAGGAATCTAAGGGAAGGAGAAGGATGAGGTGAAGGAGACGAAGACCGGTAGGAACTTGCGAGACTCTTTGGAATCCAGCTGGGGATTCATCGATCAGAAAATCGTAGCTAACGTTTTACCTGTCGACGAGTCACGACGCGAACGCCTGATATTTCATTCTTCTTTCTGAAAGTTCGAGCTCGCGCTAAGAAACAAACAAAAATCATTTCTTTTCGCACGGTTCTAACGAAAAGGAAGTATTCACGGCTGAGAACATTTTGTCCCTTATTTTCAACGATGAATTTGTTGAGAAATTAAAGCGTCGAATAAATAACCGATACTACTTTGATTGTGGAAAATAAAGGCAAGCATCTAACGAGCGTGGTTTTTCATCGCATGACAAATCTTTAATATAAGTACGTGCTGGATCAAGAATAAAGAAAATAGTGTCTTAACGATCTCTGTCAGAGATGAATTATCGTACGTTGATCTTTTAATTGTAAGAAACGTTTGCTCTTTCACATGGGTACTACCGTTTCTCGTAGACACATGGCCCACGATCTCTTTGCGATACACGCTTTTACGATAATCAATCATCGTGCGTCAGCTCGAGCATAAATAATAGCGTTCGGGTACATTCATGAGTTTCGAGGATGCGTACAGTTTTGTGCGTTAGCAACGATCAACCGATATGCTTTCTCTCGTTATTATTTTCTGCTACCGTTCTACGTAGATTCGAATTTATCTGTTTTTAAATCTTATGGTTTCGTCTATCTTTCATTGATTTTTTTTCCTCCCGACAAAAATACCTATCTCGTATTAAAGGTGACTAAGAACATCGATATTCGTATGCATATATTATAGTTAAGCGTTCTCGTATCATCGTTGCATACGAGAACGCAGAAGGAAAGGAAAATAATTGATTGTAACAAGAGCCGAGTGAGTTTACATGAATATTTTTCAACTTTAAGGTCCAGCGTGTTGAACGTCGCCCTTGTATTGAAATTTGATTACAAATTTATCTTTTATTTGATCGACAGACGTTATTTAATCTCGATAGGTTATTAAGATTTACATCGTTTGGCAAGACTCGCGTCGTTTATCTTTCCCTCGGAAAAATACGAGTCCGACCACGCAAAAGTTGTTCGCGTCAGTGTTGAATAATCGTACGGTCTTTCGGTGAAAACACCACCACCGTAACCAGCAGCTGGCCTTTTATGAGCAGCCACAAAACTCTGACGCGTGATCGTTCTACAACCATCATTATGCGGTTAACGAAGCTATAAATATACATTATAAACTATTTTCAGTGAGCAAAAGCAATGAACTTTGCGTTGAACGTTTGAACGTGCAACCACGACCAAGAAACTTGTTGTTTTATTTTTTTAGGAGGCAGAAGCGCAAACACGTCCAGAGGAAGTTTAAGAAAAATGTTGCGATGTCGGTGATGACAGAAGAGAGAAGGACCGTGCATTACCAAAACGACGGTAGGTCGTTCTAAAAGAGCATGCCGCGGTGGTTACTCGCCCTGGACGAACCAGCATCCAACCCATGCGGTAGCATTGTTATCGACCACGAACCATCGGGGTACGATCTCTCGACTTTCACGAAATTCTCTTTTATAGAGGATTCAACTTGTGGAGGACGTAACGGCGACCTTGTAAATTACGCGGCACCGTTCGAAAGCTTACGTAATTTTGCGAAGCAAAATTCACTGCTAAATGTTCCAAGGACGTAAGCGAAGATTATCAATTTCTCATAACAGTATTAAACCTTTCTTATTTTAGACCTTTTTGTTTTTTTTTTTCTAAGTCTATATAATTAAATTTACATATTTCCAGATTATCGATTTATCATTAAAATAGCTTGCATACGTGGTAGTACCTAAAACATATTTTTCTCTTTGGTCTTTACGTTCTTTTATTTGAATTTTCCTCGCGCGAAATCGACAGGTTTAATAATAATTAATCCGTCTTGTAACGAGCCTTTTGATTATCAGGTTAAACTGTTGGACCGTATCAGGGGATGCTCGAACGCGAGAAAGTCCGTACCGGTGCCGCAATCGCAACGGCCTTGACAGTTTCAACTGGGAACCGGATCATTCCAGACGGCGTCGTTTCATCCCTACAATTACCGAACGATCGGTACGCCTGTAACCCCGATAGCATTTATTCCCTACCTAGAAACGATCTTCACGAAGTCGAATGGTGAGAATTTTATTCCTGAAAAATAATTTAAATTATTGTTTAATTTAACATAACTTTTGACGCAAACGTAAACGAAATTAAAATCAAATTTTGAACAAACTTAGGAGAGATCGTATTATGAAGAAATTTCGTATGAATTCTATTCGAACTCGTAGATATTGTTTGTTTTCAGGGTAGAACCCGATTCGGTGGACGCTGAAGTATCGAGATTAGTAGCTGGATCCACGACAACGACGACAACGACGACGACCACGCGAAATAATCCAAGACGATGTTGCAGAACTTCGACGAGTTCGGGCTACTCGAGCCATTCGCCTCCTTTATCGGCAGGTTCCTATTCCTGTTACGCGTCAGCTGGACCTGGCCACAGTATTTTTCGGTCAACAGTTCCGCAGACCATGAAAGATCAGTTCGGAGGAGGTCTCGCAGTGATACACGAAGGCGAAGCAATTCCACGTCCCATTTGGCCGTCCGTTTTTACAAATGTTCCACAAGAATTTTGTATCCGCGATGACGGCAAAACCGAATACGATAGTGAGTAGTTCTGGATAATTTAACTTAGTTCTGATTTAACTTCTTTAAAGGCCGAATTTTTCATTTTATTTATGATAAATCAGATAAATGGAACGTCATTTTATTCGATGAAAAAAATACTTGGGATTTATTTTTTGATTAACAAAAAAGAAGAAGAAAAAAGAAAGAGGTCGATTTAAAGAGATTGCATACCTATCTCTTCTTTAACAGTTTCGTAAATGGAAATAAATATAGTGTGGGATTTAAATGAAATGTTAATGTACGTGGCAGAGGTCTCGAAGAGGTTAATACGTTTCACTCAGCGCGGATAAATATTATCGATTGGATGTTTTATAAATGAATTCCTTTTGTTTTTTTTTTTTTATTATTATTAGGAATGTACACGTGTTGCGGATGCGGTTGCACGTATACTTACTCGTGCTACGATTGGAATTACGGTCGAGCTACGTCTACGTCGGCACGCGAGATTCTTCTAGAATTATCTAGGACATTGAACTCCGTAATAGAAGGTGAGACGACGATGACACCCGAAGAGATTTTGCAAAATATCTCGAAAACCGTGGCTCAGGGTATAAGCTTGAAGAAGAATAGTATTTACGAATACGTATGTTACAATCCAGCATGGTTGTTGAATGGGGGAAAGAACACGTCGTCTATTTTGAGCAGTCAAAATTCGTCTCAATCCACGGGAAAGGATTCGTCGTCTTTGCAAAGTCGTGCGAAAAATTCGTCAAGCACCTCGTCTACGAGAGTAAATCCAGTTAATTCTAAAGTTTACGGTAGCACCCGTAAATTTCACAATTCGGCTTGGTCAACGTCCAGGTGTACCTGCGAACCATTTAATAAAATTATCGAATCACCGAGACGTGAAAATAATAGACAAGGATTGGATAAGAAGATTCCTTCTTCCACTACGGAGATTCATTGTCAAAAACCATTGGGTTTGTGTACCTGTAAATGCTTTAAAGAATCTATTCAGCAATCTAGAAGGAAGTTAAGTACTTGCACCAGTGTTCATATCGGAGATAGCGGTAAACAGGGCAACGTCGTTGGACTGGCTGGTTTGAAACAAAATCGAAATGGTCTTGTTTCCGGTGAACCAGAATACACGATGGTGAGTTCGTATTGGTTTCTGACGATCAAAGTTAATGAATTGAAAATATATTACATTTTTACGGTGTGCCGTTCCTTTTACTTTTCTAATTGACGAGTTTTCTTATCTTTATGCGACCGGTTCCATTTGCCAATAACTTTCACGTATTAAAGTCAGAAAAGTTGTAGGTTGAACGTGAACGCGTTTGCCATCGAAATCGAGTTGGTGTCAAAGTCTCTTTGCTTGCTTCTTGGTGTTATCCGGTTTGCAATAATTTCTTTCGCGTAACAAGAATCGCGTACAATGTCGATGTAACCAACGTGTAAAGAGCGATGTTTCAGCAGCTGGAGTCCAGTGACGGTGGTTCCTCGAACGAAGGGATAGTCGTGCCGTCGACGAAAGGTACCTGGAATCATCGCGATACAAGAGGATTCGTCGGGGATTTGGATTTCACGTTGGACGTCACGCGTGCCGAACGTTTGGGTCGAGCTATAGCGAAAGCGAAAAGGAATCGGCAATGGTGCAGAATTCTGACCACATTATTCGGACTAGTCTTTTTTGTTTTAAGTGTTGTCGTTGTCTCGTTGTCGGTTACGAGGGGCCGAAAAGTTTTCGGAAGTATGTGAACAAAATACTTCTTTTTCTTTTTATTTTTATTTTTATTTTTTCTTCTCCCGTTATTGTGGAGGAACGAAAACGTCTTGCGACTGATACTCTTTGCTAAGTACGTATGTATTTTTTTCAGTACCTTATACCAATTAAGTAAAATAATAATAATAATAATAATAAAAACAAATAAATATATGCAAAATAAAAAAAAAACAAAATCCGCAGGGTTCATATAAAGGGTCCTGCAAGCAATATACGGCTGTGACCATGTCCTTGTATATTTTATATTAAAATGATGTGTGTATACTCCGAAAAAAAAAAGAACAAGAAACAAGCGCATTTAAATAAAGAAAAAAAAAACGATAAGAAGATACGATTACATAATCTGATGAACGGTACACGATTGTGGTGTACGTTCTGTTATCTCACGGTATAATATTTAATGGTCGAAAAAGAGTCAGGTACAAACCCAACCCCTCTCCCTTTTCTCTTTCCCGTACAATACAATTAGAAATACATTTCCACGGTTACCCCTACTACTATCGTCTAAGCTCATAAATATACTCTGGCAAGTAGATCGAACCTTCATTAGAATCGACACGAGGACGGTATCTCGTCTCGTCTGCGCTCGAGAGAAAAATTCTCAGCGCGTATAAGTAGAAGTAGATAATTGTTAAAAGTTAAATAGAAAGGAAGTAGAGTCGAAAGAGGAAGTTTCAGAGTAAGAAGACAAATTAGTGGAAGGTGAAGAAGAGTAGGAGGAAGAGGAGGAGGAAGAAGAAGAAGAAGAAAAAAAACACTTAAGGGCCGGATTACCGAAGCGTTACCGAAGAGTAACTTGTCGCGGAAATCGAGGCTCAAATTGAAATAGATCGATCAGTAAATAGATCGAGCCTTCGGAAAGCACGAGGAGGGACACGGAGAAGCCGTGTATTTGCGTCTTGTAAGTCGAGCGTCGTTGATCGAGCCTTCTGGCAAAGCTCATTGTGACACCGTTTCGGTGGACTGCTCAAGCCGGGCCGTTGCCCGGGCGCGTTTCCTTGCTTTACCTTGCTTTACCTTGCGTTGCGTTGCGTTTCGTTGCGTTTCGTTCCGTTCCGTTAATTTACGTCTCGTTGTTTTTCACTGGACGAACGAAAGCTAATTTCTTTCTTCGCTTTGCTCTCGCAACTTCAGTCCTCTTCGAATTCAGTGATCAACGTATTCTTGTCAGTGTGCTCTAGCTTGCACTATTTATCTTTTCTTTCTGGCAAGTACTCGTCATTTTCTATACTTCTCTCTTTCTCTCTCTCACACACATACACACCTATGTATATATATATATATATATGTTCGTGAATTATATCGAAAGAACCATAACTCACGTGTGGCAGACAATAATCGCGAAAAGCTTACGTAAGGGGAAAAGGAGAAGGGATGGGATGGGATCTCTGTTCACGTGACCGATCTCACTGATTCTGGATACTGTGAAACGTTCTTAAGATATCGTGCGCTTTTAGGGATCATCTCATTTTATGGAATAACAAATCGAACGTTAGCATTGAGAAGAATAAGAAGAAGAAGAAGAATCAACCGTTGTAGGATGAAGAAGAGGCCGTTGACTTGGGACGTAAAATAGCTTTCTTCAGGCTGACGTAAATTAAACAACTCGTAGGTTTGAAACGTGATAATACGGAATAACACGTTATCCTTGGATCGTGCGTGTTATCAATGATCGATTTTATTTAGAGAGAAAGAGAAACTATGAAAAGTGACGAGAGAGTTTGGGGTAAAGGTGTAATAGGAAAGAAACATAGTGATTAAATTGTATATAGAAGACTTCCAAAGGGGGTATGCAAAATAAATTCGTAAGCGTAGATGGTAGATACATACAGAGAATGTTTTGTGTAATATGAATAATGACCGACAATTGCCGTGTGTCTCATTTATCTCGCACTTATACTAATGACGACTGCATTCGCGCTTGCTTACGTCTATTTCCGCGTACACAAGACGAATTGGTCGAGTCAGCCAACGGAAAGGTCGACGCAGATTTTTCCTTTTTGCGTGCAACTACCGTGATACTTAATTAAAAAAGAAAAAAAAGAAAAAAGAAAAGGAATAAAATAAAATAAAATACATTTTTCTTTAGGCAACGATCGATAACTTAATCGCATTACGAATGAATTTGATATTAATTTTGGGGTATAAGATATATGTGACGAAAATGTCGTGCAAAATATCTTAAAATCTGTTTACTCTTGTATAGTTTCCCTCTCATTCCTCCTACGCTGGATCTTAGTAAACAGGAAGAGAGAAAGAAAAATGGGTGATTAAAAATAGATTAAAAATAGGTCATTTGGTGGGCTCTTCGCATGAGTTATTCGTTGTGCATTTCATTTTAACGATATCGTATCATTTCCGTCAAACGTTTCCATGTTGCGTGGGCAAACGCTTTAGTAGAATACTCAACTAATATATACTAATCTTGTATAAAACGTAATTTCAGATGTAGAGCAGCATGGCGATTAACATTAAATTTACAAAATTCGATAACACGCCATGGGGCTTTCGACTAGCGGGTGGGAGCGATTTTCCCCAGCCATTGACTGTCATCAAAGTATGTATCTTTTTTTGTTTTTTTTTTTTCTCTTCTCTTCTCTTTTGTTTAATCATCGATAAAATATTTCAAACGTTTGAAGTAAATCGATCTCAGGTGTTGTTTTTTTAAAAGACGATCGAACTCTGCTTTGGCATTTAACATTATTTCGAGCCAAAAGTAGTGTGTCACCCAAAAGTTGTGCCAAGTTTGAGAACGGTTCACACCGATCCTGACGTTTAATTAAAAGTTCAATGTACGATTCGCGAGAACGTATACGAGCCCCATATATTTTCTATTCGCGAACATTTACGTCAATTAATCGAATTTAAATGCATATTCTCTCGAGAATCTCGATAAATATCTCTTGGCTGTTGGTTTTTCAGGTTAACGAAGAGAGTCTTGCAGAATGTATGGGCATAAAAGTAGGCGATGTTGTAGTGAGATTAAACGATCAACCGATCAGCGGTTTGACGCATGGACAAGCACACGAGGCTCTCAAACTGGCAGGCAACAATTTCGTTCTTGGTGTACAAAGGTAAGCATCTCCATTAGGAGACACTTTCTCGATGCAAATTTGATATTCACATTTTTCTTTTTTTCTCTGTGTGTACTCATTTCTTTTACCTCGAATCCAATAATCACGTACTATAAATTGTAAAGAATTTCTTACAGACAGGGGAGCTTTCTTAGCAGCCACGAGTTTGGAAAAACGAGTCAAAGTGCACGCTTGCTTGTCACTCTCTCTCTCTTTCTTTCTGGCTTTATATATAATCCAATGTAGCCAGAATATCCCGGTGCGTACACAAGGGTCTACGTGTGGCAATGTATTGCAACCAGTTATAAATAGGTGACCCAGAATGAAATCTGTTTATCATTGGTCGCTGGCGATTTTATTACTGGCTTTTCATACCGCACTTACTCGTACCCCTCCTTCTCTGCCGATTCTTCATTACCTTTTCGTTCGCGCTCGGGATCACACGAAAAGGAAAAAACAAAATTTTAATAACGCCTAATCTCCCCGTTTAAGTTTTCATATTTAAAAAGGAAGTTGTAAGTCAAAATCCCAATGGGGGGAATTTTAATAACGTGAAACACGATATTTCTTATCGATCTTTTTTTTCTTTTCGTTTCAGAGAGGGAGAAGGTTCGCGTAAGGCTCTCGAGGGTATATCGGACGAGAACATTGTCCCGTATAATATTTCGGTAAGTCCTTGTTTTATTACTGAAAAATAGAAAAAGCGTAAGAAAAAAATATCCGTCGAATGGGAACGTTCAATTCTGTCACAGCTAGCAGATTTGCCGCCAGTTTTCCCGGAGAAAATCTTATCGGAAGAGACGGTGTTAGAGCAACGAGAAATAACTATCGAACGTTTACCAACCCCGGAGAAAGTTGAGGAATTGCCGGACAAGCCGAAGGACGCCGATAGCGAGATTATACCTAATCAAAATCTCACCGACGAGGAGATAGCTCAGTTGATTCTCGAGGAGGAAGAATTGCTTCCCGACAAGGGTGTTTTAGGGTAAATTGCGTGTTTTTTTTTGTTTAAATTCGTTTGAAAAGATTTGTATATAGGATAGGCACAATCGACAGGGTAAATTTCAAGAAGTTGAGGCCACGTGCGACAGCTTTGAGAGATTCTAAGGTCTTGGAGGAGCTTCAACACATCGCCACAGCTCCACCACCGAACATAGAGGAACGTCATCACGTTTCAACCTTTCTACAGAAGCCGAATCGACCGGTGCCGAAGGCCAAACCTCGCGAACCAGCCGAGGGAGAACCTTACAGAGTAGTTATAAAGAAGCAGTCGAAGAAAAGCGTGATAGCACGCTTGGTGGAGAAGGGTCTGATACCACCTGGAAGCCTCGACACGCCGATAGAACCAACTTCCGAGGTAAAGATGTACGCCTTCGAGGAATCTAACGAAGAGTCTAACGAAATTGGGAGAGTCCTCTCTCAGGAGGAGAAGATTGATCTCCTTAAACCTCCTCTACCGTGTTCGATCCAATTTAACGACTCCCCAGACATCGAAGAGGACAACAACACTCTCGATCTTGTATCCATTAAAATTTCTGCTACTAATCCCGATCCTCCCACGTGTATTCCGTCTCTAACCGCACGACGATCGGCGATCAAACCTAAACGTTTCTACACGAGAGCTCGTTACTTCGAGAGATCCCTTCTCGGATATCCTAAGAATTCCGACAGAATCACTTTAGCCTATCTTCTCGAACTAATTCTGGGAAAATCTTCTCCCGATGGGACGGCGTTCGGACGAATAAGAAGGAAGGGCCGTTACATCGAGACCTATCTCGAACGAGAGGACACCTGGTTCAAATCGATATTCAAGCTTTTCTTTGCTAAGAGAAACGATATTACCAAGGGAAGAAGAAGAAGATTCGGTAAGCCCCGATACGCCGAACGATTATTGGCCAAATCTCTTCGCGGAGAATTCCTCGAGAGAAGGAAGACCACTACTATGGGAATGCAAAAACGACGTAGGCTTTGTCCTAGAGCGAGATATTTCGAGAGGGTCCTTGCGAAAGACGTGCAAAGATTGATCGAACTTGTCAAGGAAATTTCTATTCCCGTAGATTTAGGAAGATTCTATATTGCCGGGGATAAGAAAGATGGCAAACGGGGTGCTAGGCGACGCTCGAGTTTGATCAAACTCAAGGGTCGATACTTTGAGCGTTGTTTAGCTTCGACGATTTCATCCGCGTTAACGGGTCTCGTCGAATCAACGAAACGTCGATCCTCGGACGGGCAACTCGATTTATCGACGAAGATTTCTCGTTCGAGGAGATGTTCCTACGATCGGGCGCATTACGGGGAACGCGCGATCGTACGTAATCTTGAGATTCTCGGGAACCTGGCCGAGAAGGCGACCTCGAAGATCCTTGGTTGGCGCGAAGGTCGGCCAACGAACGGCGACCTTGATGCACCTCTATCGAATTTGATCTCCTACGATGGCGAACAGGAGGAGGAGGAGGAAGAGGAGGAGGAGGAGGAGAAGGAGGAGGAAAGGGGACGATTTTCCAAGTTCTTACGATCCACCACCGAGTTCGTCTCCGCCGAAGTGTTTCATCGTGGTGCTAGGAGACTATCGAGATCGTCCAAGGTCGTCAAGGTCGACTCCCCCATGGAATCCACCGGCTGGCTCGGTTCACTCGCTCGATTCTGTGGCCTTGACAATGGCGCTCGTTTCTCCGATGACAGCTCGAAGACGTGCGACCAGAAGATCCTTGATCGTCGAAACGATTACGATGCTCGCCGAAGGTTGTCATTCGTGCCTACCGTACTTTACCAGGGCCTAACCAATCGCATAGGCGTAGATTTTACCAAACTCGTAGCATACACTCTCATTCCCTGTGCGTCCGTTATTTTGTTGTACATGTACAAATAGATCCTTTTGAAATGCGATCGAATTTCTTTGATCTTGCTATAGGCAGTACCTATCCTGTTAATTTCGATTGTTATACAACCTTCTTAAGAAATTATTATTAGGTTTTTAATCGAGTGTCGTGTCTTAGGGCGAAACATAAAATCGGACTGTTTTATGTTTTAATTTGGGAAATATATTTTCGATATTTATGTTTTCGCACGTTCATTCATCGGAACAAGAGACTTGTTTATTAGAATTCCCATAAATGCATTTTAATTGACACTTATGCATTTCGCTTATTCGAAACTTGATTTAGATTAGGATTTAAGAGTTTTCCTCTTTTCAGAATAAATGAACGAAATAAAAGTAATGGTAAAAGTAGTAGGAGGAGTGTAAAACAGTAGTACGTATCAATGTATCTCGAAACGTGCGTTTATGTTTCCCTTAACCCCACAATAATGAAATATATCAATTTCAAATAAATCATCGTCACCCCCAGTTTGATAATCTTTATGTTTGCATGTCTCTATGCGTTTTTCTCGTCGATGTTACTAAAAATATATACACACACACATCTATACACCGACACAAATAGATCGAACATTGCACAGACCTCAGCAAAAAAGAAACGCACATTTCCAGATGTAATCCGATTAGAATTCGATCGTTCGAATTAGATCGAATACTAATTGCCAACTGGGTCAATTAATAAATGAGATTGTGAGTCGTGTCGTAATCGTGTTCTTTATTTATTAATCAATGATACAAGAGTTAGCCATTAACACATAGAATATGATTGCAAGAGAGGTAAAACGATAAAAGAAAATAATAATTGAGAAATAATTGTGTTAACCGTGTATTCTTCGAATAACTTTACGATATAAATATAAATTACATTTTCTCGCCTCTTGCATAAATTCTATTTGTTTTTGAAAGCAACGAGATAAAAGTTCTCTTCCGAATTTGGAAACTAGAAATTGTTGTATTCAGGCAACGACCCCGGCAGGGACTCCGGATCTGACTGGCAGATCGAGCGGAACTAAGACACCAAATTCGCGTCCGGAATCAAAGTTGGAAGTGATCGAGAGAACGCAGGACGTGACCACTGAGAAGATCGAAGAAGTTACTATCGAAGGAAAAGATCCTAACGTACGTCTTGAGGATCTTCAGGAGAAGAAAACTATTGAGATTGAGGTAGAGAAGACAGAAAAGGAAAAGGCCGAGGTAAAGGAGGAGGAGGAGGAGGAGAAAGAGAAGGAGCAGAAACAGGAACAGAAGGAGGAGGAGAAGGAGGAGGAGGAGCAAAGTAAAAGGGAGGAACCAATTCTTGCTGGTATCGAGAGACAGATGGCTGAAGTTGCGAGCAAGGTCGATCGGGAGAAGATCAAGGAGCTTGTGAGGACGGAGATAAACCTCGAAAAACAACTGGAGAACGTGCAGAGCCAGTTGCTAGCCCTGAAGCAATTGCCCAGCGAGATTGAGAATCACCTTAGGGTCGTGTCGGAGCAACTGAGGGTGATCATGGAATTGAGCGGCGTTCAAAACGGCGGCAGCACTGTTAACAGTCGTCGCGGATCGGCAGGTGAAAATCAGCCTTGATCGATTTTATTCACTTTCCAAAGTCGATGAACGAGATTTTCTGAACACTAGCCAATTCTCTTGGATAGAAATGGTCTCCCTCCCCTCATTCCCCCACCCTCCCAGACGCCTACGCGCAATTCGCGACACACGCGACTTCCATTGCCAAATAGTCCAACCATTCATTCTGGATTGCTATTAAATGATCTCGTACGGTTTTGTCGGTAAACGGGTAAAACGTCATTGGGATGAACAGGGCTGATATATCTAACATGCATTTTGCTTAGAAGTATTTATACTTTTTATAAATCGCGTTCAATGGAATTTCGTGGGGCTTGGACTCGATATTTCTCAAAGGCTATTTTCGTCTTGTTTACTTATGAATATCTTTAAATATAAATGTATATTCGGAGAAGGTTCTTGCTTTTACGATAACGTTCCCGAATTATTTTCGAATCATTTAAGCATCATTTATTACAAATTTGTCATTGACATTTCCAGGAATATGCATACTCATATTCTATTATTGACGAAACTTATGTATTTTCAGAAGAGGAAGCTGCAAACCAATGTCCTCGAGAAAGGAAAGAAGATGCACCACCGAGAACGGAAGACGTAATAGAAGATATCAAAGAAGAGTATGACGTGCGATCCGAACGACCATCGACCGCCATGTCGCAAGAACCACCACAGATAATAGAACCAATCGACGATGATGAAGAAGAAATTGAAACGAGAGAATTGGATGGTACGATTTCTGTTAAAAGTAGCGACGACGAAGGTGGTAGTAGGGTCAAGAAATTCGTTGTCTCCTACGAGACCAGAGTGTCGAGATCGAGAACCGCCAGTCCAACGCCTTCTTATGGTAAATATGCATTCTCATTCTTTTACTCTAACTTATAAAAATCTAGTTACCAATTATTATTTTTCTATCTCTATTTATCAACGAACCAAGTCCACGTGAAATAAAGAGGAACTATAGTTATTTTACCTTCTTATGCACCATTGTAGGTAGTTTTGAACCAGATCCAAACCTGTCGCCAAAAGATCAAGTTATTCAGGAGTTGCAGGTATACGAATGAGGGATATGCGGATATTATGTTTCACTGGAATGTATTTTTTTTTTCTTTCTTGTTTCTTGGATTATTTTTTGTGTTAAACGTTTTTTTAGAAAATATTTTCCAAACATTTTTGACCATGCACTTTATACCATGTTCACCGTTCAAACAGTTCTCGTTGTCGAACTGTATATCCCTTCGTATCGTATTTAACGTTTCCAATAGAATTTCATTTGTAAGATTTCCTCAGGTTAAATAATCTATAGGATAGATTATAATATTGTATTATTTTTTCCCATGTCGCACGTGCAACCTTGGAACGTCTACAATCAAAAATTGTAGTTCTATCGTGTATTCTCTCTATGTGTCCACGTATTTGAATACACACGTGTATCGGATGAATTCTTCCTAAAATACATTTTCTAATTCGCGCGTTAAATTTTTAGTACAGGAAAGGAAGAAAACATTCGCAAGATCTTTGGCCCCAGGCTAAACAATTGGAGTTAACGTTCGGCCGTAGATGGAGATGTCCAAATGATTTCTTCAACGACGAAATGATAGCCGAAGTATTATCATCTCAGGCAGAAGTCATTCGCGGAAAAGCGTTGGGGTAATGGAGGTTATTAATTATCGATTGATAATACATTTTGTTTAAGCAAATGTTCCATTTATTCGTAACGTTTTTACTTGCAGGGTAAACTTTAAGAAATATGAGAAAACAAATCTACCAAACTACGATCATCTGATGAACTCGAGTGTCTATAAGATGATTCATAAGATGGAACGCGAACCGAAGAAAGGTATACCTGCGAGGCCTCCCAAAGTAAACGCTGCCGAGGACATAATCGAGAGAGTCGTAAGTTTTTAATGTAAATTCGAATGACGGGAAGCCTGCAGAGACAAACGATTCTTATTTAACGAAAGGCAAGCGTATTTCTTCCAACACACATGCATACGTACCACGGCTAAGCTTTTTTTAATTTTTTTTTTTAGAGATCACCGGCGTTCAGCCTTGCCGATGACAGAAGTACTCGAAGTATTAGTCACTAATGGAAAAGACGTCAACTTGAATGAGATCATCGAACAGAGAACGTCGACGATCGAAATAAAGAAATAAAAAAGCAGTCGCGTTGCATGAGGAACCGATCGAAGAATTTCGAAGGCAAGCGAGCAACCAGAATGTCATCGAAAATCATTTTTAATTATCTAACGTTAATTTATCTATAAAATGATTTTACATTAAATGCGTATAAGTATTTGATCGTTAACAATGAGATTAAAAAATGCGAACGAGTGTAAGAGCACGTGTGTTGTGTGCACACATACCCTTCTATACACCCATAAATACATAATTACGTATTTTAAGTCGGTTTCTCGGTTTAAATTCGATTAAGGATTAAGTGTATAACGTTAATAAAAGAAAAATTCACTTTGTACACGTTATCACGTTACCTATTTAAGGGACACTTCGTTTGTCAGACAATAAAATAGGAAATATATCGGTAAGTAATTAAATCAAGTCCGCATTTACGATGTACAAAGTTTCATCGATTCGTGGAACCGATTACAAACTTAAACGTGATATTAACCGTATCGGTCTTAAGTATTTTTTAATTACTTTATTTTTTCATTTAAAAATTCATTGACCAATTCAGCGAATCAAAGCAACGACCTTACTCCGCGTTTTACTTACAATATTATAAGAGTCCGATATTATAGTCACTGATTAATCTTATCTACTCGGAAGTTTTTAATCAATTGTCCGAGTTGTGTTGTTGTTCCCATTAGATCCTTCACACATTTCTAAATAAAAATGATTTAATTGCGTCGACACGCAACTAATCCTAAATCTGAAAGGAAATCGTCAAGTAGTAGATACGTAATCGTTAAAGGTCCTCCAGAAATAGGCTAAACCGATGACGCGTATATTTCGTTGCCAATGACAGAAGCTACTGGTCAGCGAAATGACCAGAAGTCGGTGAAAGAACGGAGAAGAAGAAGAAGAAGAAGAAACTTTTGCCGTTCGATGCCGGAGGCGCTTCCGGAGGTGATTCCGCTACTTCCTTGGATGAGTCTTGCGTACTTACTTTCACCTTTCCGGGATTACCGTGAGGTTCCTTCACTTGGTTCGTGGTAACGCGTATGATCCGGCTGAGTCACGTTTACTTTACGTCCGCTCCGTCCTGCTTCGTCCCCTTTTACTTTTCTTCTTTTCTTTCTCTTCCTTTTTTTTTCTTTTTTCTTTCTTTCTTCTTCTTCTTGTTCTTTTTCTTCTTCTTCTGGTGGAGCAGCAGTAGACGATGCCGGTGCTTACGCTCCGTGAGCGTGACGTCGGCTCCGAGCAATTTATGTAAAGCATTCTAGGCATGATTCACGAACTAGTTCGCGCCCTCGTGACCGCCACCGGCGCAGAATGCAGCTACGAAGAGGAGAAATAGAGAAGGAGAGAGAGAGAGAGAGAGAGAGGGAGGGAGGGAGGGAAGGAGAACCATGCAACGGTCCAACCACCGTCGTCGTCGAACCGCGCACCACGTTCGAGCACCTAGCCGTAACTTGCACCTGGGATGATGCAGGTCTCTCTCTTTCTCTCTTTCTATGAAGTTTAACGTCTCGTGCAGTCCCCAGATCCGTCTCGTGTCTTCCCCGTATTTTCTCCTATCTTTTGAGAAACTTACCCTACAGATAACGACCATTTTAAAACGATAAGGAACTTGTCGGATAATCGTATACAAGTGAAACATTCAATTTCAGTTAATTCACGGTATTCCCTATTTCTACACATTTAAAAGATTATTTTCATTTTCCAGTGTACTTTCTGCGGATAATCCTATCGAAGAGATTTATTTGTGAAAACGTTGATAAGCTGGATCTAATCGTCGTGCGACGAGAAATTCCAATGTCAAGTATGAAATCGGTTAATAAGCAAATTTTCTTGGATAAAAGAAACGTCCGATATCACGGAAGAATTTATTTAACGGCCGTTCATCCCATTCATGACCCCGGATGACCCATTGACGGCAAGGAACGATGACTAAGGCGTTCCTCGTCCACCCTCATATCGTCGATAGAATCTTCCGAATGGCTAGGGAAAGATACCAGACGTGTTTCTGTATTTAAGAACGTTCCTTTTATTGTCGCGATGCGATACATGCACAAAACTGGTATCCGGTAACGTCGATGTCATGTGACTTCGTGCTTGCATACATTTTCGTTGTTCATGCGCCAACCAGGAGGAAAAAAGGAAAAATCTAATAAGAAAAAAACTCTAGGATCCTGTGTGAGAGAGAGAGACACTTATATTTTATTATTATTAATAATTTCTGACGATTGAGAGAGAGAGAACTGCAGTGAAATCGCATAAAAAGGAAGGAAGAAAATAAAGGAATGAGAGTGAGAACGCAGCATGTCGCATAGATCGGGCCAAAGTGTTCTTGTTTGCGAAGCTACAGGAGGAGACAGGGAAGAAGAAGAAAAAGTTTTCGAAGGAAAAGGAGCAAGTCAAATGTTGAGAATGTCGAAGTAGCAGGATCGTCGTCGTAGTCGTTGTCGAAGGAAGAAGAAGAAGAAGAAGCAGAAGAGGAGGAAGAGGAGGAAGAGGAAGAGGAGGAAGAGGAAGATGTTCTCTCTCTTTCTGTTCTGCTGTACCATCCATATACACACACACACACAGAAGGCAACAAGACCTTCCCTGTGGACCCCCCTACCCCCCTCGCCCGAGGATTGGACGGTATTCTGCCTCGTTCCTCCACTCCGTGGTTGTAGCATTCGAAATCGCACGTAAGGCCCCGCTGCCCGAGTGACCGTCCTCCGCTACCTTTACTCCGGCCTGCGCGTTCTTCGGGAACGTTTGTGCCGTTCCTCCTCCGAGAGTGCGCGCTGCTCCCTCCAGTAAGCTCCCGAACGTCGATCGACGAGGATCGAGGAAGAATAATATAAAAGATATAGATCGGTGTGTTTAACGTGCTATTACGCGGGGAAATCGTTTCTATCTCTCGTTTTTTTTTTTTTAATTAAATACGAACACACATACATACACGCACGCACAGCAAGCAAACAAGAGCACAGCGCGCGTCGAAGAATATATTTATTCGCTTTGCGTGAATAATTTTGTTGTTTAATAGTCACGCGCGAGATAAGGATTATCCTTCACGCGTTTTAATTATATAGTTAGAAATAATATATATCAGAAGTATAATTATAAATAATTTCTCGTCATCGTCGTGTTCTCTAATTCATTTGTTTGTTTTTCTTTTCTTCGATTGAGAACGTTAGATTTAAATTTGTCGTTGTTCTCTTTTTAAATTTTATACCGTTGATTTTTGTTGAAAATTGGATAAGATAACGTATAAGTTGTCGTCGCCGTAGAAGAGAGTTTACCTCTTCTTCTATTTTGTTTTTTTTTCGGGTTGTTATTGTTATTAAGAGAAAAAGGGATCAAACGAGAGTTCAGTGACATGGCACAGCTGATAAGCGTCAAACTTTCCCGCTTCGATGGATCACCATGGGGATTTCGTCTTCAAGGTGGCAAGGATTTCGGTACACCGTTGATCGTACAAAAGGTACATTTGCAATTATTATTTCATATCTTCTATACAATCAACGAGTTTACGAGACTATTCGTTAGGCGTGTTCGGTGAATTAGAAGATTAAACGAATGAAAATTTATAACGCGTAGTAGGCTCAATTAACGGCGAAGTTGTTTTCCATTTATTCGAGCTACCGTATATCTAAGATATAATAACAAGCTTTAACAAGTATTCGTATCTTAGGAAATCCGGTTGTAGACAAAATTATCCTCGCGAATGTGGAAAGTCGCAAACGACACTGCGACACACGACTGGCGCCTAGATATTTTTCTTTTTCCTTTTTCCAATTCTCGATCAAGGACCTCTCGTGCAGCACGATTTAACCGATCGTTTTAAACTTTGATACAGACTTTAGATAGAACGACAAGAATCGAATATATTTCATACGTGCATACAAATCTTTCGTCATAACGAACGATTCGTTAACGGATCAAAAATATCAAATAGTTTTTCGATAAAATCATTTCAACGATCACAAAAGACAAAAGAAAATATGCACGCTTTTTCGTGCTCGAATTAGCTCAAAATATAATTGGGATTATTCGTTAAAAGTGTTGGAATAATCGAAAGCCACGGTCACGAGCTGAAACGTCGTTAAGCGGATTTGTTTTCATCCGCTACCCCTTTCTCGCCCCTACCTGCTAACCTATCTACCTATCATCAACACAATCAAACTCAAGTCAAGTCCGAGTAAAGTTGACGAAGACAATTACGTAAGTTACGTTAGTAGCAGCAACAGCAGTAGCAGTAGCAGCAGTAATGGAAGATAGCTATACGCCAAATTATTTCACGCGCATCGGCAGAAATCGTTGCCAACTACGCGCGAAACGCTCGGCTCGTCGCAACACAACCGTCCTCGTGTTTTTGGCGATGAAACGAGTCGGTAATACGAGAAGCTAGCTTTTGGCCCGTGTTACAACCAGACGAAAGGGGGATGGATGGATGGATGGATGGATAGATCGATTGATCGATCGATCTATCGTTCGCGAGACTATCGGACTTTCTTCTTCTTCTTTTTCTACTTCTGTCGTCGAGATCATCGTAGAACAAATCTCACTCATTGAAGAAAAACGATCTCTCGTCATAGTCGACGGACTAGAACGAGCTATCGCATTTGAACTTGAAACAAATTATTATACTTTCAAATATAATACAAACTTACAAATAAAAAGATCAAAATTCATTGAATCAACATCAACAATAATTAATGAATGAATTAATTAAAAATGATCCCATTTGATATTTTGTTCGTTTCTACAATCGTATTTTGTAATAGATGTTACGAACTTGGCCTTCTTCTTAGCGGTGCACCGTTTATTTTACGATGCCGCAAATACGGCCGTCCAACCGCCCTTCGGGCTTTCTTAGAAAGGAGAGAAATATGAGTGCGATGTAAGGTTTTGCCTTTGAGACAACACCCACTCTCTTTCTCGAAGAAGAAGAAGAAGAAGAAGAAGAATATTACTCTTTGCGCAAAGAGTTGTCTTTCTTTTATTTGATTCGTAAACTCGTGCACATGCTAATCGATTAATAAGAATATAAGATAATAAATAGTTCAACGATATTTATCTTTATGATTCTTAACTAACGATCAACCGGTTAATATTACTTTTATTTTTTTTTTAACGAATTCACCTACCATAATATGTTATTCAAATATAATCGATTATAAGGAATATAATATGAAAGGTTTGGAAAATGAGACGGAAGTAGAGTTAAAAGTCGGAGTTACTTACCGTCAAAGTAAGGAAACGTAAGGGTGAGATGGTGGAAGGGTGTCGAGGAAGGGAGGGCAAGGGGAACCGGCGCGTCGCTGGTAATCCGAGGCAAATTATTTGGGCGTTCTATTTCTAGAAGGTGCCTTTGCGAAACTCGCAAGCCGGGTTCGCAAGCCCCGCTCGACGACGACGACGACGACTACGACGACGACGAATCTCAGCTTCGTGCGATTTTATCTATTTATCTATTTATCTTCCTTTTTATCTATCTATCTATTTATCTCTCTCTCTCTCTCTTATTTAGATATTATTTTTCCTTAAGGAAGTAAATATAATCGTTTCTTAAATCGAAACAAGTTTCGCGAGGTAAAAACATTTTTCAATTTCTATTAGAAAATTCTATTCTACGTAATCGTTATTATCGTACGAGAAAGAGAAAAAGAAGATGGCATAATAATGATTTGTAAAATGCATACGTTTTCTCATTTCAATCTCGGTATAATATCATCACGTGTCCGATCCGAGAGAGAACTAGTTTCGTGTCCAAGATGAAGTTCTAATAGACGCCTTTTGACATTTATCTCTGACAAGCGAAGGAAGTTTACGAGTATTCGTCTAATACATCTAGTAGATTCTAAAACGGATGCTGCTTGCGAATTATCAATAGATATATAATACTTATGCTTCTCGTATACTGTATGAATCTATGCGTGTAATATACCGGATGAATTCTCTGATCAAGTTTTCAAATTAAATTTACTTGCCGACTATTTGCCTGTAGTCTTCTCTTTTTTTTTTTTCTTTTCAAACTCTTTTTTTTAAACTTATCGTTAGCGAAATGCAGAAGTTACGTATAGTCGTTAATAATAATCCAAGGCCAAGGGGAAGCGATAAACAAAGAGCGTTTAAATTAACGACGCTAATCGCGATTTCGCGGTTTTAAAAAGGAAAGAACAGCCGGAAAACTAACCGGCCTTGCTTTTTTAGTTTTAATAAGAGTCTACGATCATAAATGAACTTATGTTTTAGAATTGAGTAAATATATGAACAGATGCGAACGAAGTAGCGAAGCTAGAATAGATAAGATCTTGAAAAAGAGAGAGAGGAAATTTATCTTTCCTTTTATACTTTATCGTAATGTTTAGTTAACCAGTTATTTGATTTTTTTTTTCCTTTTTTCTTTTTTCTCGCAAAAAGTCAAGGAAAAGAAAAAAAGTCACGTTCGTTCGAACTACACAAAAATTCTAATGAAGAGAATTCGTAGTCATTTCATTCGTCCACAAACTGCTATGCAAGTTTCCGCGATTACGCTAGGCGCGATGCAGTTGGCGTAACGTGGGCGCTCTCTCTCTCTTTCTCTCTCTCTCTTTCTCTGCGTGTTATGCGATATTTCGTTTGGGGACGATGCACACATGCTTGGAATAAACATTATCGCGTCGAGGAAAGACTCGTTATGAATTCTATCGTTCGATTACGGACTCGTCAATTTGATAACGTAGCTTCTAACATTACGGTTTTCAATTTACGTTTGGAAAAACAAAATTATAGGATATTTCCGTTCGGTTTTGGCCTGACGACGTGCCTAATATTCCACGTAAATTCGATAACATAATGATCTTACGTTTAGTTTTATTATCAAATGCATTCACTACTCGTTCGAAGAATGATCAAAGACCAGGAAGAATTTCGTTCACGTGAAGAGCGCACTTGACATTACACAGCTTTCGTGTCTCTCGGATCAAAATTACGCAATGATGAGAAAAGAGAAAGAGAATGTGTGAGTAAGAAATGGCGCCAAGTCTAAATACTCAAAAACGTTCGAGAGAAACACAAGCTACGTTTCCTTCCTGTTCGTGCCAAGATAGATTCTTTCAACCGTGGAAAATCACGAAATTTCAGATAAGATAACGTTGAATCTTTTTTTCATCTTACGATCTCGTACGAAAAGAGGATCCGAGTAAACGCGAAGGAATTCTAATCTGGAAACGAGAGTTCCTTCCGATAAAGGTTAATACACGAATGTGGTAACAGCTGGTAAGTTGCCAACACGTGGGTGGTTTAACGCAAATATCGCGTTTATATTACTCAGTCTAGTTAACATTGCATTATTATTTTCCTTCTTGAAAAGAAATATCCTTAAAAAGGTGCTTGAATCTTCTCGATTCGAATGGAAATGATATTTTCGTTCTACCAAAGACGAATAATTCTAAGAATTGCTTTTCCTTCGAAACATCTTTCATCTTTTTCAAAACATTTACATGAGAATACGTGCGGAACTTTTAAAAAGATTCACGAACAGACAGATCCCTTCTTCTTCAACATTTTGCTAAGCCCCTAAAAGTTTCTAAACTTGTTTATCAATTTGTATAATAATCGAGACATAAATTAACTGATTAAGACTGTATTACAGCACAGTTTGGACACCCATGAACACCAGCGTTCTTGCATACGCGTGTTTTATTATTAGAAACGTTTCATACCGTTTAATATTATTTTTATCCTCAGTGTATCATTTTTGTATGAACATTTTCATCCTTACTTTTGCTATTATTATATTACTTTGTAATAAATTATTCGCGTCTTGCATTAACAAGTATATTATTTGATTATTTTTCGTTGTTGTTCATTGAGAAAGGAAACAAACTCGAAGAAATATCAGCGGAGGATAGAAAGATGCCCCGGGTACGCGCATTTGCGTCGATTCGCTCATCGATACAAAAGGAAGAGAAGAAAGACACGTTTCTAGACGTGAGCGTGAGTTTATTTCGGATCGTACTCGGATTTCTCGTCTCTCTTTTTCTCTTCCTTCTCTCCCTTTCTTTTTCTCTCTTTCTTTCTTTCTAAGACATCATGGAATCCGCTTGTCATTCCTGCATATAGCATCGAATAAATGTTTCGTTCGGCAAGGAAATTCAAGTTTCCTCGAGAATGTCAACGGGCTATCGAGAAACCGAAGTCGGCTCCAATAATTTCTCGTTATTTGTGGAAATCGTAGAAAATCAAAGGAACGAGCAGATGGTTTTTACTAGTTTACCCTAGTAAAGCAAGAACCAATGTGAAATATTCTTTGAAAATCTATAAGCTTATTTTTAAATCCATTTCCTCGCGTTATATAATATAATATTTATTTTATTGTTCGACATTATTGTCAAAAAATTTCTGCTAATCTTAAAAGAAAATAAAACGTCGTTTTGATCTTTGTCTACGCTAATTACGACGACGGAAGAGAGAGGAAAGGTGTGTTAGAAATGTTTT